TATGGCTCAGGTAGTGTGGAAGCCTTCCCTCCTCCAGCAAGTTATAGCATAGTAAAGCATCTGTGTGAACTAAGCTACTGCAGTGCGCTGTTAGCTATTCCCCTTGTGGAGGTAGTTTACATAGAGCACTAGGAAATCTCTCCCAACACTCAGGTACTAGCCACACTGAGTTTAAGCACTGCTATAATAGTGCTGCTGCAGTCACACTTTAAACTTTTAAAAGTTTAGACAAAAGCCTAAGAAAGGTTTTTGAGAGGGCATAGTTGACAATTAAAGACTTTCTGAAAGTCTGAATAAAGTCTTGGTTACCTCCAAACTAACGTAAAAGGGGCTCTAATTTTACAAGAGACTATTTTGTCCAAAAAGTATGGAAAACAACATTTCATAGAATACTCATAGAATCATAGAATACTAGGACTGGAAGGGACCTCGAGAGGTCATGGAGACCAGTCTCCCGCCCCCATGGCAGGACCAAATACTGTCTAGACCATCCCTGATAGACATTTATCTAACCCACTCTTAAATATCTCCACAGATGGGGATTCCACAACCTCCCTGGGCAATTTATTCCAGTGTTTTAACTACCCTGACAGTTAGGAACTTTTTCCTAATGCCCAACCTAAACCTCCCTTGCTGCAGTTTAAGCCCATTGCTTCTTGTTCTATCCTCAGAGGCCAAGATGAACAAGTTTTCTCCCTCCTCCTTATGACACCCTTTTAGATACGTGAAAACAGCTATCTTGTCCCCCCTCAATCTTCTCTTTTCTAAACTAAACAAACCCAATTCTTTCAGCCTTCATAGGTCATGTTCTGTAGACCTTTAATCATTCTTGTTTCTCTTAACTATTTGCGACTAAACTCTTACCTTCTTTTAGCCTAGAAAGGAAATGTTATAATACAAGGCCATAGGAATGTAAAATTCCAGTTAACTGGTTAAACCTTTGGGGCTCCTGGCAGCAAGAGATCTTTGGGGAGCAGCTGGACTTGGTTTGGTGGCAGACATGATAAGGGACAGGCTGAGGCTGAGGCTGACCCTGCAGGGGGCAGAGGACCAGGCACGGCAGCAAGGCAGGGGCTTACATAGTTACTGTGTTCAGCATGCCCCCTTTCTGCAGGAGCCTGTGGGGGAAGGAGGTAAAGGCAAGGCAGATGAACAGGGGCTCACACAGAGGAGCCTCCACGATTAAGGGGGCTAGACATGGCGGCATAGCAGGGGCTCTAGCCATGCTTCATTGGGGATGAACAAACAAAGGTTTACTGCTGTGGTTTCAGTTAATAGGCTCCCTTGCTTTATTCATGTTGTCATATCAGATATCAGTCTTCTCTGAATCACAGAGTGATAAGGAGCAGGAGCTGACTGAATATATCCAAGAAATATGTGCCTTATCCTGCAATGCTCTGTGCTGCAATGATGCCAGACCACTTACTGCTTGGCATGAAAAGGTATCCTACTGGAGAGAATGGAATAAGGCAGGCCTCCCCAAAAACTTGGTGAGAAAGATGGAGAGCTTTATGGAAATGCACAGGGAAGATTACCGCTCCAAATCCAAACACATTAACAAGCTATTCTGGGAAAGCCCACAGTGTAGGCACAGTGGCTGCCACAGATCACATCCAATTGCCTTAACCCACTTGCAGTGTGATTAAATATGAACTCATCCAGAGGGCCCTCCCCACCATCAGGGCCTGGCAGTAAGATATCCTGGGAGGAGGGGATTGTTTCCAAAGTTATAAAAAGGTCCTGGTTGTCAGTGACATCAGTTATCCCACTCGCCTGCTGACCAGTCTCTTCCTCATTCAACATCCTCCATGTTGCTGCCCAAGGCTTCCTAAGGAGTTTCCTGGGAGGAATCCATAGACTGGCTTAAGAAACACGTCAGGTCCTCCTAGAATATTATGCAGCTGCTTAAAGAGGCAGTATGTTTGCAGTGATGATCCAGACCATCCATTTGCCTTCTGGTATGCCTGCTTCAGCTTCTTTATTTTCACACAGCACTTCTGGGCAGCCCAACATAACCTTTCTCCATGCCCTGTGTGACATTGGCATAGCTATCAACATTTCCTTTACTACTACTTCTGCCCACACAGCAATGAGTTTCAGAATCTCTTGCATGCTCCATGTTGGTGATCGTTTGCAACTCTGGGCATTCATGATCAGGTGTGCTGCCTGTTCTGAGGTCTGCTCATCATGCTGGCCACACAGGAAATGGAATTCAAATTTTCCTGGAGCTTTTCCTGTGCACCTGAAGAGAGGCAGAGTTGAAAGTCTTAGCTAGAGCGTTCACAACGGGGCATTGTGGGACACCTCCCAGAGGCCAAAACACCTACAAGAGGCCAAAAACTTGGATCTTCACAGAGCATTGTTTACACTGCCCTAAAGTTGACCATGCAAAGCAGAGGGTTGGGATATGGGATGGGGTAGGGGAACCAGGATGGGGACAGGCTGTTGGAGGTGGCTCAGGGTTAGTGGCAAGCATTTAAGGTGTGGATTCTGGGAGGCATTTAGGTGCGGGAGGATGTTCTAACCTGGGGCAGAGTGTTGGGGGGCAGGTGAAGGTTTGGGATCCAGCCAAGCAGCACTGACCTCAAGTAGTCCTAATCAGTGGCACAGCAAGATTAAGGCAGGCTCCTTGCCTCTCCTGGGTCTGTGTGGCTGCTGAAAGCAGCTAGCATTTCCAGCTCCTAGCTACAGGGGTGGCGCTGTGCGATGTGTGCAGCCTGTGCCTGCAGATACCGCTCCCGCAAGTCTCACTGACCACAGTTCCTGGTCAATAGGAGCTGCTGAGCGAGTGCTTGGGGTAGGGGCAGCATGCAGAACTTTTCTCTGATAGCACAAGTGCCTAGTGATACAGGGACGCGGCTGCCACTTCCAGGAGCCATGTGAGCCAAGGCAGGAAGGAAGCCTTCCTGACCCATGCTGCACCACCAACTAGACTTTTAATAGCCCAGTTAGCTGTGTTCCCTCTAAGATTTTCCATTGGTGAGCGGAGTGAGTTTTGCTTTGTGCACCAACATTGAAGTCATGTGCGCTTATAAAAGAATACCTTGAAGTCAGATGAATTGTCATCTGACCCATGCTGCAATAGTACTTACAAGTGCCACAACCACAGGGAAGAAAGGGGTTGGAGCATGTTGAAAGAAGCTTAAAACATACTAAAGAGAAGTCTACATTCTGGACTTCGATAATTTAAGTAAATAAGATGGGCAAAATTCTCCTGAAAACCAGAATATTGCCAAGCCTTGATGAACATCAAAGTTGCTGACTTGTCTGACTTTGTAATACTACACTAATTATTGTTAATTTTTATCACAGGGAAAATGGGGGGGACAAAGGTATGAGAATGTGTACCATTTCTTTAAAAATTCATCGAGAAACCAAGTAGTAGGGGAACTAGGAAAGGTTTTATATAGAAGCTCTATAGTAAACTAGAGGCAGTGACGCTTTAAAGATAATACGGTTTTCCTTAGTGTAATAGTCTAATAATGAATAGTCTTTAAAAAGTTTTTGATGTTGGAATGAAACATCTTAAATTACAATTAGCTAGGTAACCGCATAGTTAATACAATTAGTTGATAGGACCATTCTGCAGAGCTGCAAGAGGAGTAGCTTCAGGACTGGCTCAAGACTGGACTGAGCAGTCCCAGCTCGTGCCTATTCTGGGAATCACCTGCACTGTGGCTCTGCATTTTGAACGTCGTAAGAGCTGCCAGGCTCTTACGACATTTAAGACGCAGAGGCACAGAGTCCCAGACCAACACAAGCCAGGACTGCTCAGTCCCAGCTTGCACTGAGTCCAGCAGCCCCTGTTTACGCCGAAGAGGGGCTGCTTGGCAACAGCAGCAGCCTCCCCTATCCCTCCCACCACCTCTTTAAGGAGGGGAACCAGCTTTTAACCAGCTCCTGGTTCCCACCTCCCTTGCTGCTGTGGGGCAGCAGGAGAAGCAGAGGCACGGTGGGCAACCAGCATGTGTGGGGACTGCTTCAGTCCCCCCTCGTGCCGTTTCCCCCTTGTACCTCTGCATCCCCTACCCCGTGTGGAAACAGCGCTGGGGGGAAACCAGCTTTTAAGCCAGCTTCCCCAAGCACCAGCTCCTCTTCCCCTCCCTTTGCCATCTCTCTCCGA